TTAGCAGAGACAGGGTCTCTGCTGGTCTCGAATTTCTGGCCTCAGGTGATCCACCCACCTTGGCTTCCCAAAGTGCTGGAATTACTGGCGTGAGCCACTACATCTGGCCAAGATAACTTCATTCTTAAAGCAAACCTTGGGAAAATGTGAAAGCCAATGATTTCAAACAAATACTCAATAATTCAATACTGTCACACCTGCAAGATAATTTTTGTTATAATATTTATATCAGTTGTTATATTAGCTCAAAATTGTTATATTGGCCAAAAAATGTCAAAAATTACAGTGAATTATACTATACTAATGGTCATAACGTTCTCTGACTTGTTCCTATTATTTGAAATAGAAATTTAACAGACATTTAGCATGTCTGCTGCGAACAGATCTTATCAAAAATGATGCAGCTCATATATTAATAATAAATGACCGCTAATATTTACAGTTAAGGGAATAAGAAGAAAGGTACAGAACATTATGTATGACATGATAATTTCTGTGTTCTTAAAAAGTGTATACATAAAAAGGCCAGGCACAGTGGCTCATGCCTGTAATCCCAGAGCTTTGGGAGGCTGAAGTGGGCGGATCACAAGGTCAGGAGTTTGAGACCAGCCTGACCAACACGGTGAAATCCCGTCTCCACTAAAAATACAAAAATTAGCTAGGCATGGTGGCAGGTACCTGTAGTCCCAGCTATAGGCTGGGACTGAGGCAGAGGTTGGAGTGAGCCAAGATCGCACCACTGCATTCCAGCCTGGGCGACAAAGCGAGACTCTGCCTCCAAAAAAAAAAAAAAAGTATATACATAAACCCTTACAAAAGCATTTATAGTTTTTAAAGGAAACTGGTTGCTCCTGAGGAATGGAGCTACAAAAGGAAGACAGGGTGGAATGGCAAACAAAATTTCATTGCATAGCATTTGAATTTCAAATTATATAAACATATTATGTTTTTGAAATATTTAATTTGAAAAATAAAGATAGCACAATATGGTGGTTAGAAGTGCAGACTTTTGAGTTAAACTGCTTGGGTTTAAATTCCAGCTCTGGTACCTACTAGCTATGTGACCTTGGACAATGAAATCAT